ATGCAGGAGGAAGTGGAGATGGATTGTATTGGGCATACACTGAGAAAGCCGACTGGGGACATCATGCGTCAGGCCAGTTACTCGAGTGGAATCCTCATGGAAAGCGACGAGTTGGGCGTCTGAGGTGAGGGTGACATGGAGGATATCGTGAGAGGAGGAAATGAGAGGTTGTGGGCTGTCGTGGAACCAGGTTCAAAAGATTTCGGCGAACAGAGTTCACTGGAGACGTGCTACTTGAAGCCGTATGTTCCATTAGGAACCCAAGGGACTAATAATAATAATAAAATATTATTTTAATATGATTACAACCAAAAACGTTTGCTTAAGATGTGACCTATCAAATAAAACTCTATCACTGTGTGTAATGTCAAATAAACTGCCGAATTTCTAGGTTTTCGTTTGATAGCGAACCTATGGGTACTAGTGAATTGTCACCTTAAGGGGACACGGTGTTTATATATATTTTTTCGGTAGAATCTACACTTTTTTTTAGTATGAATGACTTCTTACGACTCTTGTGATTCCACTTCATTCTTAATGGATACCTTTATTAAAGTTCTGATTTCAACACACATGCAGAATGTAACTGACCAGGTCAAATCTCAATGGCTTTAAACTCTCATGGATAGCATGACGCTTTTAGTTAGACGTCAACTATCAATTTGTATACACCTTTAATTATGCTCTGATAGACATGACTTGGCTATTTGTATGAAACAGCTAAATATATTTCTTAGCTTAAAGAAATATGAACACTTTGGTTCATGATTATTCTCATAGGTGGTTTCAGTTTTTCACTCCGCTGGACTTTTTATATTTCAACTTTTCATTTGAATTAAGTATGCTTCTCTCCATCTTATGATCAGTCTTCCAAATACCTGGTTATTCATTGCTTTTCTGTTGGTTTCAAGAAATATTTTCAGCTATAAAGCTTTGAATATGACTTCATTGGCTAAAAACTTTGTTTTCCTGAAACTATTACCCTTTTCCTTGCAATCAGACAGTATTATTTCCTTATTTATAGCAGATCTGAAAAATCCACAGATTCCCAAACTAATCGATAAAAATTAAGCACTTATTGTTTTAGGACTGAAACATAGCGACAAAAGGCAGCCAATAGGGGAGTTGTTTTCAAGTCATGTTCAGGTCGTGATTTATGTGTGCCCTGACATGAGAACCTGATTGGAGGAATTCGACCTCATACAAGGAATCTGATTAGTCCATTTATGGCTTCACTTTCTGAGAGTTTTGTAAATACGTGTGTCATGTATTCGCCGAATAAAAAGTTGTCACTGGTCTTGCAGTCACAGGCCGTCTTTGTCTTCTGGTTTTTCCGCCGCTCAGTGAAGCAGAAGGTACTGAGGGAGGTCAGTCGTAAAGGTATTCGGTTTAGGTGTCTATTGAATCTCAGTATTCATTATACCCACGAGCCCAACCCCACCACTCGGTCACAACAAGGACTTCATCGCTTAGATTTTCGAATAAGAAGTTACTTATTTTTTATTTATATTGGCGCTTTATCAGGGTTCGAACCCACGGTCTCTATCTGGTTGCTCTATCCAAAGTTGGACCAACAAAGCTTTAGACGCAACTGTTAATCAAGTTTGAATTTCATCTCAAAATAACCGATGCTTAACTGTAATACCTTATTTAGGGTTTTAAAGTAACCTGGATGGTCCTAGTTGCGATTAAATGTTACATATTCCGACTACAAGTTTCGTGTAGTATACGTACATAATTATTTCATATGGAAACATTTCAAACTATTTCGTAATCTGAGATCAGGTGTTCGTGTAATGAATCGACTGGTTTATTCATATGTTCGGTGTAGAGAACAAATGTGATTCTTCCCTATCTCTCTCACACATTTTTATGAGATATCATGAACGAAGTAACAGATTTCCAGTCTTAAGTTACTTCATAAAAGATTGTAACATTTTTATTTGTTTAATAATAAATGTCTTACTGGGTACGCAGAAAAAGATAGGAATAACAGTTGAAGTGTTTTTGCTCAATGAAATGACTTTATGGAAAGGCTAAGAGACTGTTTTTAACAAGAAACAGGGTTGAATTAGGAAAATGATTTAATCTTACTGATTGACTATCAACTATTTCTCCAACAGCAAAAAGTGATGTGCATGGATATACTTTAAAAAATGACAACTGAATTGTTTCTAAGTTTATGCCAGATGAGAAAATCAGTGAAAAGTTAATCTGTTGGTTGTGTTGGAGACTTTATGTTGACACTAATCACGGAAGTTTGGTCTATTTTTCAGGGGGGAAATAATTCATTTTAGTTGTCAAACAATATGAGAATTCACTGGATGACATACACAAAAGTTTAATATTCAAATCCGAAGTTATTCTGAGAGAAGAACAAGAGAAATAAACTTTTTTCTTTTTAAATAAGACTACTTAAATGTTTCTTAGATGGCGATATAAATTTTTGAATAATATTTACTTTTTTAGGTGTTACAGATGATTGTTGTTGCTGTTGTTAGCGATTTTTGATCACTTATATGATGATCTAGTTAAACTCAGAAAGCTATGCCTTAAAATAGTAATTTCGAAGTATTTTGAAGTAAGATTATAGCTGAGGATGACGTTAATATATATGCGATGTTTCCCACCCTTCAATATTTGATGTCACATGTTTTCTTATCAGGTTGGGTGTGTTAATCAGTGCCTATTTCGTGAGTTAGAGAAGTGCTTCGAAGTTACACGAATGGTAATACAGAATATTTGTCAACCTTATACATGAAGGCGACTTTTCTGCAGCATACTGGATTGTTGGACCTTAATTTCGATCAAAACGCACTGAGTAAATAGAACCTTGTGGATGGAAATATGTCAGTCTTACTATTTATTTGTACAAAATACAGCTGATCAGTCGTTTTGAGTTTCCTTTCTGGTAACCTGTAGAGTGATTCTTCATTCAATTCCCTATTAGATGCTAATCTACTAAATTTCCATACTTTTGAGGATCCTTGGGTAGTTTTCCAATTTGTATATTTTAGGATTCCGGTAGGTTTGATGATGCACTTACTGCTGTATAGTGGAATCCGTTATGCTAGATCATGACATTTAGCTGCCCGCTGGTGTTCATAAGTTATTTGAGTTGACTAACGACTAAAATCGATAGAAAATAGCAGCGTCGATTGCTTTTACCATTTTTTGTTGGGGTATTAACCATTGTATCTACCTAAGGTAGTGATATTTTGCCTTAGCACGACTTGCTCTGTAGTGAGTTGATTGACTGACTGAATCAGACTGATATTGAGAGGGTAATGCGGTTAACTGACTAGCAGAGGGACACATGATACACGTTTCATCCTATTTGGGGCTGGTCAGCTTGATGCACCTGTACAGCAGTGAGTGATGTTCTCACCGAGACTCAAACACTGTACCTACCTCTCCAAACGCCAAAACGTTATCCACTAGTCCTTTATGGCACGATAGCCACTTGAGGTAGATCAGTTTGTTCCAGTATAACGACGGCGAATTACAAGTATATCAACGAAAAGTAATTTCTGAGATTGTTTCTCTATGAAAGAAACTATTCCACTTATCGGGATAGGGTTATTATTCTGCTTTTTGTTGTATGATAATATCTGTGTTTTCTTATTCAATTATTTTGAGAATTACCAACTTGTCGTTGTTAATGTGAACCAAAAGACTATGTACCGCAAGCAATGACTCTACCGCATAACAACTCCATTGGTTGATTTTGATAATAATAAACCTCTGAAAGCTTTTTTAGTCCATCTGTAAGTTTTTCTGTTGAACTGAAAACTGATGCTGAAACACGCTTAGATTGTGTTTGTCGAATCTGGTTGCATTGATTTTAGTACTTTCAAAGATTTCCTTCATTATCTGTTCGTAAATTTTTGGTGGAACTGATATGAGAAGTGCAGTTACACCAAAAGGAAATCATTTTTCTAAGGTATTCAATTTGATTGCTTTTTGTTAATAAGAATTAAGTTATTAAAACGATTAAACATAACTTCAACAAGGTATCTGAGTTTTTCTTGTAATCTTTCCGTTAAAATGAATGACATTCTCCAGTTGGAAGCATTGTTGTCCACAAGGAATAACTTTCTACCGTATAAACGATCAATGAAAGGCTTATGATGCTCGGTGGCTGTTTTCTGCTTATTCAATGCTGTCCTTCCTTGACGGCCTGATGAATATTACTAAATTTCTCGATTACGTCATTTTGGTAATTTAGATCCCCTGATATATTTTGTCCTTCTTGCTTCATCCATAATTTCGCATTTTCCGGCTATTTTGTGGGATCCTTACATACTTCCTATGCCTTTCTAAGGAAAAAGTAAATCTTGATGAATGTTTTTATCCAACTGTATAGAAAAGTTTCCCACTGACCATGACGAGTGGGATACCTTCTTTCTTTGTGTAATCCAATTTTTCCTGATTTTTTGTGGGAACATAATCACTTGGCTAAGTTCTTGTTTTTCAGCTTCAGCTTCTATGGTTATGGGCAGGAGTTCTAACGCTCTACATCGCCTAACTTTTAGTTTGGTTCTTTTAGGAATATAGTGTATTCTCTCGTTCAACTTACAAATGTTTTCTTTCTTCATGAAGTGTTTACTCATGCATTGTAAACTTGTACACTTTGGCCAGAAATTTAAAATTACTTAACGAGGAATAAACGTGACTTAAGATTGGATTTCAAACAAATAACAAACATGAAAAGGTTAATAATCTCCTTATTTGACTTCGTGTATCACTGTAGTGTTTGCTATGTTATAGAACTAACTATTCTTAGTTTCAATATTCAGATACAGAGAAAACATTATCTTCTCTATATCTTTTGTGACACGAGTCATTTTCAATGCAAAAAGTTTCTTGTAATTCAGTTACTTCATAAACTTATCAATCCTTTAAACGTAAGAATTTTTCTTCAAATTGTTCATTATTTGTCTGAAATTTCCCAGAGTTAAACAAGGTAATATTTTTATGGATAGCAAACATTAACTTACCCGATAAGCAAGGCGATAAGGACAATTTTTACCAAATCCAACTGGTGGTTCCATATTTCTTAGCATTTCATATACATCACGATGGTGAATAAGACCCCTATTAGGTTAAGAAAAATTTTATCAGAAAGACAAAGTTTTACACTTCCGAATAATTTCGAATCTATAGCTGAAACAATGAAGCAAATTTATGTAAGGATGAAAATGTGGTGTTTAAATTATGGTATGGATGGCTTCAAAGGTGAAATGAAAGTTGACAGCTCGTCTAACGTTGGTCTCAGTTGTAAATTCACCGGACATATTTCACGTGAAGACTAAAAAACCATCGACTGGATCTTAATTCCTGATTACTTCCCATCCACCTAAAAATATCTTAGAATCATACTACTTCAAAAAAGTTCAGATATATGCAGAGACATTCTTAATATGAGGCAATTAGGTCTCAGAAATATAGAACGCTAGTTTATAGCACTATCATTTAGACAATAATGTACAATGGGGTTAGAAATCCGTTTCCTTTCTTCCATTGAATACCAGAATTCCAGGGTTCCAAAACATAGAGTTATTCTTGTATATACTAATGCTCAGACAAGCATGATGAGCGACTTATTTTCACAAAGCACACACACCAAGGCCTAGGAAATACTTCTTGTATAAACGATGTTACATTATTTATTATGTAGTAAACAACAGTTATAAACTGAGTCCAACATTTGGCAGACTAGTATTTGTACTGGATGATGATTGAAGGTGAGATGAAAATCTGAACCGCGACCAGGTAGTCACTGGTTCGAATCCGGCCGTGGTCCAGATTTTCATCTCACCTTCAATCATCAACCAGTACATATTCAGAAATCCCAGCCACTGGTTGTTAACGCATACGAAAACTAAATATTTGGTTTTTAGAGGATAGTTTCACACAACTTGGCGAATGTTCCTTGTGTGGTCTATTCAGTTCTTACGAGATGATTATCATGAATGATATGATCAGTTAGCAAATTATTCACAGACTACATGGTTGAGTAGTTTTTTAACGACTCGAATAAAAATTGAAGTATGCTCAGCATTTTTTTGCACATTCGTGCAGTCGCCAGTTAACCACACCTATTTTATGAGGGTCAGTGGTACTACTTGCCATGCGCCAACTTTGATAGATGGACTATTTTTCGAACCCTTGACCCAATGGTTGAGAGTTATCTCCTCGGCTGTGACGATGACATGACTTCTGTTAGAAACCACTCAGCTAAGATCACGTAAGGTGATTTGGGACATCATACTGTGAACTAATGAAGTATACTCCTAAATAATGAGAGCAGTTAAAAAATACTTTCATGACCAGTAGATAAGAGTTTCATTCTTTGTTCAGGGTTTAGAGATATTTCGAAACGCGGATATTTCCAGCAGACTTCCGATATTTGGAATAAACTTCCGATTTTCATCGTGATTATTAAACATAGATCCGTAAAAACTTCAATACTCCTACCTCTCTACGTATTTCCAGGAGCTAAAAATGTCTTCTCGCAAATAGTGCCAGTTAAGTGATAGACGTTTAACGTATTCTGTTTTTATCACCGGATTATTGGGAAGAACATCATTTAATGAGGCGGTAACATCGTTGCACTTTTGCTGAACTCATAATCACTGATCATGGGAGGTTGTCGGTGTTCAAAGATTTACTGTCAGCAAGCAAAAATATAAAAGATATTGTAAAAAAAACTGATCGTGAGCAATAATAGCTCGAAAACAATGAATTGTCAGTTTGCAGCAGACCGAGTAAGCTGATAACCCTCACACTTATTGTATGCGCTTTAGATACCTTAGCTGTTGCTTTTCTATAACACTTTCGGCTACCTGGTTTACGTACTCAGGAAATCTGACGTTAAATTAAGAGTGTACTTGTTTCAGATATTTACTGATCACTAGCCTATTTTTTTTATCCAGCTTAAGTAACTTTCATAAAGATTATGCACAAATTTCAGCCTTTTATCAAGCGAGTCTATAGAAGATACTAAATATCGAAAGCATAAGACTATGAATTACTTCCAAGGAAAAAAAATGACCAACCACTGATAATTTTGGAAGGTACTTACTTTGCTCCTGGATCATATTCAGCCCAAACACGTACGAATTCATCAAGATGATGTGGACCCAATATAGAAGAATCTCTAGTTAAATAATCAAAATTATCCATAATAACTGCTACGAATAAATTAAGCATTATAAATGAACACAGAAAATTGAAAGTTGCAAAGTATAAATAGGTATATGAGCTTCCACAAGATTCACCAGATCCTTCACATTCTTTGCCAGCTGCACAATCAAGCATAATTTCTTGCCAATTCTCACCAGTTGCACATCTGAGGAAAATAGAAACAAAAAAGTAAATAGTCTACGTTAATTATTCGTACATTTGAAAGGAGAAGTAAATAAATTGTCAGTTTGATTGAGATTGCGGTGCTTTGACAGACATATATCACTGTTACTGGGTGGTGGTTGAAGGTGAAATAAAAAACTTATCTGCAATGAGATTCTAATCAGGGGTCTCAGGTTGACCGGCCTGCTTGCTACCTTCCCAAATGAGCCACAAGACCCAACTGCTGGCTGGATCACGAAGTTGCGTGACAGTCGGGTAAAACTCTTGTTGACTCAAGTGAAATTAAGATCTAGTTAGTAGTTGAGTATAGTGGTTTAGTTGGTCTAGCAACGGACCAGTAATCTAGAGGTCTCTGAGACAAATCCTGTTGGGACCCAAATTTTCATTTCACCTTTAGTCATCAAATAGTATAAATAAGTAAGCATAAAGTGTTATCGATTGTTAAGTGATCAACAAAAGAAAAGAGATCATATAAGGTTTTGATTCATCTAGGACTCAGTGGCAGATAATAAGGCTTATTAAGTACTACACTGTACATTTTTCTACATTATGAACGATATTACATTGGTACATGAGCTATTGTGCGGACGCCTCGATATTACCTGTGTTCTAATTATAGTAATGGTGGATAGTGGTTAGCAGTAGAGTCCAGGATGCGCATTTCGTCCTATTTGGGACTCGTCAGCTGGATGTACCTGCCTCCCAGTGAGTGATTTTGTCCCTACCAGGATTTGGACTCCAGAGCAAACACTTCAAACGTCAGAGCGTTATCCACTACATAATACAAGAATTATATTAAAACTATACCCATCACACAAGAAGTGGTTGTTGTGGCTCGGTGGTTTAGTGGATAACGCTTTGACGTTTGAAGTGATCGTTCCTGAGTCCGAATTCCAGTGAGAACAACATCAATCAGTAGAAGACAAGTACATGCAGCTGACCAGTCCCAAGTAGGACGAAATGCTCATCCTGGACTCCATTGCTAGCCACTATCTATCATTACTGTGTTTAGTTTTTATTACTTGGAACTGACCGGAGGTTATTGATAAAGTTTCTCGTGTGGCCAGTAGGCTTAGTACCTGGACACTGTAAAGTGTAGCGTTTTGATAGTGGGACTGTCAGTTCTTAATTATTTCAAACGTCTCGGATTCGAACCGGAAATGTTTCTGAAAATATTCAAAATATCTCCATAAAGTATGAGTTAAAATTTAACAATGAGGAATATATAACAAATAGTTGTGAGTAGGAATGTTATTCAAGAGCTGAAGTTCTTATTTGAACTGAAAGTTTGGATGATAACAAATTAATAATCAAATTATATTTGTCAAGCTAATTTACTAAAATATTTCGATCTGTCAGAAAGCTTTCTCAACTGACTTCACATATTCTGCTGTATTCATGCGAAAAGGAAAAACTGCAAACTTTTTTAACACACCTTAAAAAACACAGAAGACTATTGTAGTGGAAAATATTTTCTTCCAAACGAAAACATTTTCAAAAGTGAACGTTTATGATTATGCATTGGAAAAGATAGTTTTTCATGTAGATTTCATAATTCTTGGATAGGTGAAAAATGATTTAGCAAAGATAGCTAAATATCACTTCGTAATATAGAAAACAATTGATAAACGGGATGCAACGAAGTAAAATTCAGCTACATATTAGAAGGGATTTCGGTTGTTAAGTATGCCTAGAGGTAATCCTTATATTCACTTGAAGTTCAGAGAAGAAGTTTAATGGTAATGATTTCCTATTCGTCAATGATACTTGAGTATTTAACTCCATAACGATATGGCTAAAATTTGCAAGGTTTATCAAGAGAACGTCAAACATTTCCCAACGAAGGTGAAGATAGGCTTCAGATATCTTTCTATCAACCAATTCCGATGATATTTTTGAGAGGGTTTGGCAGATGACAACACACACTTTAATACCACTTTTTAACAGTAGTAGTAGGGAAACTTGAAATTGCAGTGAACAACGATTTGAAACACTTATGTGAAAATTTACGAAAAAGGTCAGTGAAGTTAATAAGAAACATTGGAATAGGAAGGAATACAAAAAAAAGGGAAAACCTTACTCTTGGTATGAAAATTAAAATCAATACTATCAAGGTAGGTTCAACGTGAGTACCAGTTGTTTTTGTTTGTATACATAAAGAGGATTTAAATTTACAGATGACAAGAGCTTCAATAAATTTAAGCACTCAGCTCTCGGCTCATTATGCTGTTTAAATTTATCAAAGGTACAAGTTGCTTTAAAATTTGAAACAGTTAATTCTTTTGGACAAAAATGCTTAATTTGTTAAGACTAGTCATTATGCTGTGTTCCTAAGATTATATGAAATTAATTTTTTTTTCATTGAAAGAAATTGTTAAAAGTATAATTGAACAAAGTTGTTGAAGTACAATTGGAAATTGAAATAAATTGTGTCAGGTTTTAAATAAACTTTTACAATTCCATTACTCTTTTTGTTTTAGTTAGATTACAAAAAGGAAAACTTATTACTGAAATATAAAAACGGTAAATATATGTCTTAAAATATAGATTATGTGTCTTAATGTAGTTTATTCAAACACTAGCATACTAATTTGTTATATTGAATTAAGTTTCTGACATTCTCTGCCAATACATCAGAATTTCGTTCACCAAATCTCTTACGCTGTAAGTGTATTTTCAATAAACTCGTTTTGCTTATTGAAAGTAATTATTATATAAGTTCAGAACAGAAATGTGCTTAAAAGATTATAAGCAAAAAATAGCAGGTAGTGGTGAGCTGTACATTACAGTTAGACATCGACCTAGTAACTATCTTACTCACTAATGAAATAAAGCTAAAACTGCAGTAAAGTAGAAAAATTAACTACTTTACCGTTCATGCTGGGTGATGATTGAAGGTGAAATGAAAATTTTAACCACAGCAAAATTCGCACCAGTGACCATCGGGTTTCGGGTCCGATGCTCTACCAAATGAGCTGCTGTTAGTTATCAACTAGAAGGTTACCAGCTTTTGACTGGATTAAATGGTTGTCAGTAATGTAGAAATTTTGAACAGAGAAAACAGAAAGAATATCACAGAATTCCGAGGAGCTTGGTATTTAGATCAGTCAGTAATCAGTAGATGTATAAACATAGACCCAGTCTATCAACCAATGAAGAAAGTGATAAAAGATGGAGAGGTCAGAGGTCAAGCGGAGAAACAGCTAACAGGAAAATCTGCACAGTCAATAACCTAACAATCAAAGGAGACAACCAATCACAAACCCGTGCGTCACGGCAAACTAGCAACTCACTCACGGAGAGATATTAACAACTCACTTTATACTGAAGTCAGTGCTGTTTATGCTGTCTGGAAAGACGATTGTGGCTTCACCACTAAACAGTCTGGCTCAGAGAACACAATACAACCAAGACCAGTTCATTCCTCTTGTGAAAATGCAAACGAATTCCTGATTTTATTGCAATAGGTGTAAACAAGCATCTATTCAAATGATAGTCAGTGTACATACTCTATCATCTTTCCATGACTAAATTCTTCAATTATCAAAAAAAGAAAGACTTCAGTGAACAATAGCATGCTCAGAAGCTGTATAATCGCATTTACAGTAGTTTGTGTATACTGGTGAAAAATGTCGGCGTTTTTCAACCAGTGATACTTAGTACATCGTGGTCAAGAAAATAATATAGGAATGGATGTCAAGTAAAAAAAATGGATAAGTGTCAGTTGCAGTAGCCAAAAACTGAAGAATATGCAACAAAATGAGTAAACTTTCGCCAGTGTAGAAGGGAATGTGAAATTAGTAACTGAACCAAGAACGTTGACAAGAAAATCAAATAAGATGGTCAGGCTTGGGAATTAGAAATTTAAAAGAAAACTTCTAGAACTCTATTTACTAGCAACTAAGTTTTGGAATGTTGAATCGGCGATCAATGTGAGTTGACATTTACTGAACAATGTTGGAAGTTGTTGTTGTTGACATTGTACAGTCTGTCATTGCCTACAGCTTATGTATCCAGCTTCACATTAGCAGGTGAATTGATGTATTCCCATGGGATTGGCTGGTATAATTAAGCGTCCTTTTTTTAGGATTAATTTTAGGTATATTTTACATGTGAAGCCACGGAAAGACGTAACTGAAAAATTTTGAGTTTGATCCTAATTTTTTTGTTCGTTAAACTTAATAGCCGCTTCGTTGTGCCTTTATGTCTTATCTCTTACCATTTGTTCACCGCTTTGATGCAACACTCAGTTCTAATGAGGCTTTACTTTCGGATTTGTTTCAAAAGTTGATGGACTTTTAATCTAGACATGAACAGTTGTGCTTATCGGTCAAACGCGCTTGATATATTACTAACAGTCTACTATGGTGAAATTTCTACCGTGCTTCAGATTAATCAATGCCTTAGAATGAAATTCATTCAATCATAACCCATTCTTTATCTTACCCAACAGGAAATATACCTCGAATTTATGTGATGATGCGGTTTGCTTTTTATCAGCAGTTAATAGCCAAAATTAGGTACCATATAAAAGCCAATTATGATTAGAAATTTGATCTAGGATATCTAAATCTTTCATATCTTATGTTTTGATACAGTTATAAGGAAGCTATAAATGTTGGTAATGAGTAGCTGATTCTTGTTTACTCAATTGAGGTGCATATTGATAAAATTTACAACCTCTATTCGACAGAGACACTAATAAATGATTTTGATGGATTAAGGCAAATTACTACTTATTCACTGATTCTACACGAAATAAGAGCGTTTTATTCACATATATGAATTTATGTGACCCAGTCGATTTCCACTTCTTAGTGCTAAATTGTGTCTTTTCTGCCTATCATATCACTTTTTCTATTACCCTTCACAAATGGTTTTGTTCTTATTTTTATTACCTCTGTTGTTTGCATACTTATACTGTCCCTGACCTTTGCACCGGCCAAATATCAGTCCCGTTAAGGTGTGTGGCTTTATTGTCTATATTTTTCAAAGAAGCATGAAGAACCATGAAAACCATTACTATGAATTAGCTCACAATAAATTTTGAGAAACATCACAAGAGACTACACAGAGATTAGCTCTCGTTATATCGACTGGAGTTAAGGTGGATTAATGTAAGTTGTTTATGCGGAAATTCTTAACATTCGATATGCCGTTGTGAACTAAAAATTAAGGACAGAACTCAAGGATTTGTTGAGACAATTACTCAAGTGCTGTATGTGGGGCAACCGGTATCCGTGAGGGCTTCAACTAGTCAATTCATGCATTTCATTAATGAAGGAGTCTATAAATGGCTAACCTGATAGGCATGAACATGTCACAGTCATGAGTGAGAATAATAGGAAGCATCAGAAGCGCGCATTCATGCAGATAACGTCATTGAAAATTGAAAGTAGCTTTCGGCAGCCTGATAATATGGTGGTTTACATTTTGTAAGATACCGTATTCCTGAACATCATCATCGTATTCATAACGAAAATCAATATGAATCTAAATATATCCTATGGCGTATGAGAGATATTCTTCCATATAAATTACATTATAATTACTGCAAATATTCTGTCAGATATTGTTTTTAAACTTTAACGTGAACTTTTTTTATCAGAAGAGATGAGTCAAAATGTCTTTTATATATCAGCTCAAAGAAAACTATTGGAAATTTTGAAATGAGTTTGTCTCCCTTACTGAAAGAATAGAAAACTCACCTAAATAATAGAAGTATGCCATCTCCAAAGGTTTGAAAGTTGTTGTGATTGTTTAATTGGGAATGAGGATCAGTTTTAATATTTCCGAAAACCTTAAAAAGTAAATTAGAAGATACATGATTATTACACTGTGTCATTTGCAGTCAAAAAGTATTCAAATTGTTATTTTCTTTACTGTTTCTCGATCTTACAATTTAACCCGATCTTGACTTGTCAACGTAGAATACGGAGTTTGATTGGTTGTGGCTAGCAGAAGAATCCAGGAGGCGCGTTTCCTCCTACTTGGGACTCGTCAGCTCAATGTACCTACACCGCAGTGATGTTGTTCCCACTGAGACTCGAACCTCATACCCATCACTTCAAACGCCAAGGCGTTATCCACTATGCCACAGAGGAACGACAGCCACTTCTTGTACAACGGGTGATAGCTATTACTATTGATTGATATACTTGTTATTCTCCGTTGTTTTGTTGGATCGAATTGTTAGACCTCCACTGGCATATGGGCTCCTATGCGGATGCCTCAATATTGACTGAATGTTAGTTTGATAATTCGATCCAACAAAACAATGGAGAATAACAAATATGTCAATAAATAGTAGTAGAATACGTAAATTAAAAAAAACTATGAAGCATGAGAAATGACCTCTGTGTGCCAGGATTAAGTTTCTAAACAATCATATCCAATGGTTATAGTGATTGTTTGTGCAAACGTAGGTTTATGCAGATCTGTTAGACGAAAAACACAACAAAACTTCTCGCAAAAATCGACAGTGATTCATGCGTGAGACACTAAATTTGCTGTGAACAAATCTTCACCTTTATTCCAAATATCTTGTTTTACTTCATGTATTTTCCTGGTGGCTTTTTATCTTTTGGAAGGTATAACTATTTTAATTGATATTTATGTCTGTGACTGATTAAGTACTGGACCAGTTCTAATACTATTGACCTGGTTAGTTCAAAGTTGGAAATTCATAAATGTTGAACTCTCAAATTTGTTTGAAGCTTGTAGAATCTCCTGACTGTTGACAATCTGTTTTTAACGAATGAAACAAAACTCAAGAGACAGAAGTATGAGAGCAAATCAGATACTTAGAGATGTAATCAACTCTGATGTAATTAAATAGGGAAGTAGAGCTTAAGATAAACTCATTCAATTAAAATAAGAAAAGTGGAATTTTGCTACAATTAGTTTGTCTTATGAATTTCGATAGAATAATAAAACCTATTTTTTTGAATCGTATAGTGTATTTGAGCAATACACTTTCATCACGAAGATTGACTAAAACATGTTTCATTGATCTTGGTGACTAGAAGAGGAATCCAGGATGCTTGTTTCGTCCTGTTTGGGACTCGTCAACTGGATGTACCACACCCCAGTGAGTGATGTTGTTCTCACTGAGGCTCGAACCCATGGCTGTTTGCATCAAAAGCCACGGCGGCACGATAGCCACCTCTTGTGCAACGGATGTCAGTTGTCGTAATGATACTTGCAATTTCCGTTTGCTAAACAGGGACGAATTGCTCGACCTCTGTTGGGAGATGGGCTTATATACGGATACCTCGATACTGCCGGATATTCATGATGCTATATTAATCTTGGTGACTCCCTGGGGTGCAGGTATATCCGGCTGACAAGTCCTCTGCTAGTCACAGAGGTCAGTATAACATCTTGAATATCCGGTTGTATCAAGGCCTCCGCACATAAGCCCATCTCCCAACAGAGGTCGAGCGATTCGGCCCTATATAAAAACATGGAATTACAAGTATTCGTTGCATGAAATATGCTTTATTAGAGTGTTTAAATTAAACGAGTGGTCTGATCGCTCATTATGATTACACAAGTACTTCTCATAGGAATCTTTATGGAAAAATAAAAGAGTTAAAGGGTAGGAAATAGGGGATTAGTGAGCAAATAAAACGACGATATTGAAGATCAAAATAACAATAAAGATAAATAAAGCGGCTTATAATAATTATCTTTAGATCTAAGCCTAATTTACAAATGTCAAATTGTTTTGGAATTCCTAAAAGTGGTTTATAATGACTAATGCTTCGCATTGGTTAATGGATGTTAAAATAGATCAATAGGCCTATCTATTCATAGAAAGCTTATATGGACAGGACAGTATTTCCATTATCATATTTAAACTGGGTGAAGTTGAAATAAAAAATGGGACCGCGGCAAGATTTGAACCAGCGACCACCAGGTTTTCGGACCAATGCTCTACCAACTCAGGTTCCAGGTCTATCTGCTGACCATATTTTTATTTCACTTCAATTAACAAGGGTTTTGCCCGACTACCATGTGAATGCGCAATGTCTTACTATCGCTTGATCGTATTCACATTGGCTGCCTAGTAAGGACTTCTCATTCCAATCTAAATCTGACTGGACCGGTATAAATGCCAGTCTGCCAAACTACAGCTATCTGAGTCAAATGATAATCATTATCATATTGTTTTATTTCGATCCAAATAAGGCCTAGCGAGGTGCTCATTACATAGAATCCAACAAATAAACAGCGTAATGAGAAGATGAAGATTATCTGAAACATGTTATGTATTAGTGCTATACACTTCAAACAGTCTGATCACACATGAGCTTGTCGAACTATTTATATGAAAATTTACATGTAACAAACATCCATCTTCGTCTATCGCTAAACATATGCTAGAAAATAACCATAGGACTGACATGAAAACAGTCTTTAAAGTACTACATAAAACTGGTCATAGGCGAGGGCTTAAATTTATTGAAGCTCTTGCCATCCGTAAATTCAAACCCCCTTTGTGGATAGAAAAACAATTTGTGCTCACAATGAACCTACCTTGATAGTATTGATTTTTTATTTTAATTTTCATAGTAAGAGTAACGGGAATATTTTTTTTCTGCCCTTTCTATTCCTATGTTTCTTATTAACTTCATTGAGCCGTTTCGTAAATTTTCATATGAATAGTTCGACAAGCCCATGTGTGATCAGATTGTCGAAATGTATAGCGCTAATACCTCAAAATGTTTCAGATAATCTTCGTCTTCTCACTACGCTGTTTAAATTTATCAAATGGACCAGTTGCTTTAAATAAACAGCCAATGTGTTGGAAGAAATAAGATTATTGACCCAGACATTAAGTGAAAGCGACTATCTGTTGAAAATTAAGGTCAGTATAAGCTGTACATAGCAGTGAGACACCTTAATTTTGTCTCATACAAAGATGTACTCATCAGACCTCTGCATGGTGGTGATGAAAATGACTAGATAATTGGTCAAAGACCTAACGCCACCGTCCAGAAAGTACATTATAGAGCCAAGTTTCAGACAACTGAAAATGTAAAGCTCAAGGATACATCAAGGTCCTTAGAATACATGAAATAGTGTCACACCATGTAGTATTTATCAATGTAAATGTACGTATGGTTACGCATACACAGGAACGACTCACTGATCGTTGAAAACAAGGACCACTGAACCAGTACCAAAGTAGCTTCAGAAACAAATAGGGTTGCTTAACCCCAATACTGCTAGAAACAAATCCCAGAGCCCCATGAATCATTCAGTACATTATTAAACAGGGTGAAAAATAGATATGCGTCGTCCAATTCAATTTGTAAAACCTGTTGGGGACGTATTCTAGTATTTTTGGCGAAGCATTAGCCATTAGGAGTCATAGTCACTTTTATGTATCCCAAAACAATTTGTTATCATACGAAATCTTCCCAGATAAACTTGGTTCAAGTCCAAGGTTGGTGTGGTATTATTGTTTATTTTGTCCGTCCTCACTGTTATTTTGACCTTCATTATTGTCGATACATATAAAAAACAAAAAAACAAATTCCTCGCTGGAATCAGAGAGACGAAATGACGCTGGTTGCTGAAAGCCTTCTGGAAGCCAGTTCACCGATGTATCTTCTCTCCTCTCGATGAAAGTAAAACTAGGCATAGGGACATGGAGTGTACGCACAATGTATGAACCTAGTGAGGCTGCCTAGATTGCAAAAGAGATGAGAAGGTATAGAATAGAAGTGCTAGGAATCTACGAGGAATTTGCAGATGGAATGGAAGTAGACTCTCCAAAAAGTCAACTGGAGTGTCAATAATCTACTCCGATATTGTCACCCGGATGACAACCACGAGCACACTGAGTTTTCCAGTGGCTATCATGATGTCCCCAACAGCATCGAACACTGTCTCTCATGCAGTGGGAACCAATCCCCTCCTGCAGGATCATGACAGCAAGATTCAACTCAAAAGGAAGGAAGGTCACAATCATACAATGCTATGCCCCTACAAATAACCCAGAGCAAGAGAAGGAGGAGGAATTCTACAGACAACTGTGATCAACACTGGACAAGACACCACTCAAGTTGGCGATATCAAAATTCTAATAGGCGACATAAATGTCAAACTGAGAGCAGAAAACACAGGAAGAGAACTGATCGTGGGTCGAGAAGCACTTGGTGAAATGATGAATGAGAATGGAGAACTGTTTGCAGACTTTTGTACATTTAAAGATTTGGATTTTGAAGGCAATGTACAAACACAAAGATATTCACAAGGCAGCGACATGGATTTGATTTCATCAAACACCAGGACACTAAAAGTCAGATAGATTTCATCTCAGTCTGAAGAAAGTGGAGACGCAGCCTAGTGAACACAAGATCAGATCAAGAAGGGGAGTAGGTGTAGGTTCACACCACTCACCACCTAATGCAAAGAACCTACTTTCAAAATCGAGTTGAAAGCCTTCAAAGAAGCTGGTGATAGACCATAGTTCAAGTTCAACACTCAGAACAGAACGTGAAGGACGAAACTACAAGGTGTATCTTCACGTCAGTCACCCATCAGGAAAAAATGGGAGATATTGAGCAAAATCCCTGAAGGAACCTGCATGGAAGAACACTGGAACTCTTTCAAAGAGATATAGAAAGAAGTCTGCATAACCGTATTGAGAAGGAAGAAGAAAGAAGAGGTAAGACAAGGAATGGATCTCGATGGATACATGGAAGTTGAAAGAGCAGGGAAAGGAAGATGGTGAAGCAGAAGACGAATCAGTGCAGTGCAGGGATGAAAACCGAAACGAGGAACTGA